AAAAAAAAAAAAAAAAAAAAAACAATCCAACGTATTGTGAACTCGCGGATGATGGCAGCCGCAGCCTTTCTACTGCCACACACTCTAGCCATTCCATAATGACACTCAGTCTGTTTTTGATCGCAGTCATTGTACAGTCACATAGTCGATAATCACGGCCTTTCCGCAGTTGCACAGTCGATGACCGCAGCCTTTCTACAGTCGCACAGTCGATATCGATTTTCCTGCAGTTCTTTTTCTTGAGGGTTTTTGTGTTCGTTTCTGGGTTCTGTACTCTTTTCCCGCGTGTACGATCTTTTGGAAGATTCACAAGTCGGTTCTTTCAACTTTGTTTCCTTTTCTGTTTCTTTTTTTCACTCTTCCATTTTTATTTTTACCCCCCTGTTTCGTGTTTACTGCAGTCAGAATATCATTGGCTTTCCTGCGCCCCTTTTCCTTTCTTTTTTTTTTTTTTTTTTTTTTTAATGTGATCTGATGGACCACGGATCAGACATTAAACTGGTCAGAAGACTCAGAACGGGTGCTGTGTCGTTGACTCAGTGGCGAAAAAAAAAAAAAAAAAAAAAAAAAAAAACGGGTACTGCACTTAATCTTAGCCAAAAGGCGGAAATACTTATTGCCCCTTGTCTTTCCGTTGACTGGTGGGGGTTTATCGTGGTCGTACTTTTTTCTTTCTTTTTCGCTTAAATTAGAGGACGAAAAGGAAAAGGGAAAAAAAAAACTGGAAAAAAAAAAAGAGCAGTTCATGTGTCACAGCAAATTGGCCTCTAATAGTTGCCCAAAAAAAAAAAAAAAAAAAAAAAAGTTGTACAGGCCCTGTCAGATTTTGTGCCCGGCCTGTAACTGGTGTCTGATGGGGGTAACCCGCCGAGCACCCCGAAAAAGTGCGCCCCCCTGACAACTCACCAAATGTGCAAAAAATTGAGAATGCACCTCCTGCTAAAACACGGAAAGATGCACCCACCATACTTTTGTCTTTTGTCATTTCCACATTTGGCCAGTGGTGCCTGCAGGCCCGAAGTCCTAGTACGACTGTACGAGTTTGCTCTTCGAAGTGACTCTTTTGTGATTGTCGTATGATCACCAACGTGTCCTCTTGTGGTCACGGTGTTCTGGTTGTGCAGTAGGCTGACGCTCTCAGGAGTGAAGACGACTGCATCGGGCACGACGGGCAGCACGCCTCTTCTCTAATCGTCGTCAAAGTTCAAACGACTCGTCATTGATCGATCGATGAAGTGCTATGAAGGTTGAAACCAGATGTAGAAACCAGATCTACTCGTCTCTGCAAGTGCTGCGGAGCTTGGTGCCCGATCACTGCCTGCAAACGGGATGTTGAGACACACGGTCGCATTGGATAAAGAACCCATAAAATGTATGTTTTTTKTTTCTCTGTAATAGCGGGAAAAGCATATTCCGATCTGTCATTGATTGATAGATCGGAAGTTCGGAACTCTATCTACTCGTTTCTGCAACTTGAAGGGCTGTGGAGCTTGATGTCCGATCGCGCGCTGCGATGCGAACGGGAT